AACCTTGGAGGTGATTAATGGAACATTTCTCTGTTGGAGGATCTTTTGTCTCTTGGATATCATTCATGGAAGTCATTGTTCGTTGTAGACCTTGTTGTTGCTTAATTTCCTTGCCTGGGTGACCTTTAATCTCCTGATTTCCAGTCACAGATGAATGCTTCCCAGTCAGCTCAGTTGGTTAACCAATACCATCAACCTGGGGACCTGTAACCTCATGAATGTCCATCATGGAAGGCAGCTGCTACGTTGTAATAAGCACTTGTGAGGGTGTTGGGAATCAAGAACTTGCTGCCTGTGAGGGTGATAGTGCTGAAACACACAAAACATTTAAGAATTTAGATGTTCAGTTGCTTTGCCAAGACATACAAGACTATGGGCCAAGTGCTGAAAAATGAAATTAAAATAGTTTGTTGGTTGTTTTTGATCAGTGCAGACACGATGGGCCAAAGGGCTTTTTTTCTGTGCTGTAGATCTCTATGACCCCGTGACATTGTATTCCTTGTAGTGTTCTGGATTTCTGGACTAGGCAATATCTTTCAAATTGGAAGAGGTAGTCTCTTTTTAGCAATACCCTGGATGCTAAGACCAGACAATTGCTTCTTCTTAACCATGTCTTGTAACTGGAGACAATGGTCTAGCTCAACTGGCATCAATTTGTTGACCAGGAAGGGCATCTTCAGTTGACTCCTGTAGTTGTTTGATGAAGTAGACTTTTTCAGTCTCTCAGCTTTGTTTCTGAAAGATTGCTGTTTAACCATGCACTACTTCTGTCGCTGGTATTAACTGTTCTCTGTTAGAAGACAGATTTCCACCATTAAGCCTGTGTCTTCCTGTCTTGTGAAAATATTAAACAGCCCTCTTATGTCAACGTAAGTAACCTCACTGGATTCTTTCTTCTAGTTAGGTTCTTTTATGAGTCCAAAAAGTCCAATGACATTTTCAGTTGGGTTTCTTCTTGACTGGTTGTTCAGTATGTTCCACGGTATGTTCCTGGAGCAGTGGTTCAACAACTGTTTGTTCCTGGGTCAGTTGTTCTTCTGGAACTAGTAAAACTCGTTCAGCCTGCTTAAGGACATTGAGACCTAAACATGCATAGAAAAATAGAAGATAGGAGCAGGACTAGGCATTAGACCTCTCAAGTCTACTTGAACTCAATACTGTAATCCCACCCTCCCCCCACGCCTTGATCCATTTGGCCACAAGGCTCCTTCTTGAAAGCACATAATGGTTTGGCCTCAGTTACATTCAGTGATAGTGAATTCCACTGACCCAGCACTCTCTAGGTGAAGAAATTTCTCTTCATCTCAGTCCTAAAAGATTTACCTCTTTTTGTTGAACTATAACCCCAAGTTTGAAAATTGAGAGGTATTTGATTGTAAACTTCATAAACATTTTAAACTGTCTTAGACTCCTTATTTTGTAGTGTAAGCTGTAGAATTCCTAAACTCTTGACAGTTATTTTAAAGCAGCATTACCCCTATAAACTACTGCTTCTTTCACCGTGGCAACTGGCCAGATAGAATAGTGACCTTGGCACTTGTATGTCTGAATTTAACAGGATGTCCATTGACATAACAAGTTCAATGGAACCCAGACTGTTAGGATCATTCATTTCTCCTGTGAATACCTTGAGTATTCTGTCCGCAAGAGATTATTCTACCATATTGAGCTTTTATGTAATCTCTTCCTTTGCTGCAGCCCTGTAACTGTGTCCTACTTCTGCTCTTATAGCTTGCCTCAAAATCAAACATTATCATAAGAACCACAAAGAGAAAGTGCTAGAGAAACTCAGCAGGTCTGGCAGCATCTTTAGAGAGAGAAGCAGAGTAAATGATTTGAGTCCAGTGACCCTTTGTCAGAACTGCTGCCAGACCTGCTGAGTTTCTCTAGCACTTTCTGTTTATGTTATGTTATGTTATCTTACTATCTTATGAACTGTCACCTCCTCAATGTCTATCTTGTGTTCTGTATGGTCCTTCTCTGATTGTGAATTTTTGTGGAAGTATAATATCTTTATCCATTTCTTCTCAATGGTTTTCTTAGCTCTTATTAACGTGAAGTTTTTTTAATTCTGTCATCTCAATGCTGCTTGTAATCTTATGTTCCTTAAGCTTCTATTCTTGAAGTTACCAATGCTGTTTTAATTTCAATTCCTGTCGGGTTTGCTGGACTCAAATGTATTTTATTTATTTGCCAGTCTTTCAAAACTCTGTATTGCAGGAATACTGTTCAGTGTTTTTGAGAAGATTTGTAGCTCGGGCTGTTGATGCAGTTATTGACTTGCTCGCCGAGCCGGTAACTTTGTTTGCAGATGTTTTGTCACCGTACTAGGTAACATCATCAGTGTGCCTCCGGTGAAGCGTCAGTGTTCTGTCCTGCTTGCTATTTATGTGTTTCGGTTTGCTGGGGTGGGTGGCATCACTTCCGGACTTGTTTCTTAGTGTTTGGTATATGGGCTCCAGCTCTACATGTTTGTTGATGGAGTTCCAGTTTGAGTGCCAGGCCTCCAGGCATTCTCGTGCGTGTCTTTGCTTGGCTTGTCCTAGGATGGCTACATTGTCCC